ACAAAATTTGGTCATAGTTTCTTAAGACAAATTTAGGGGACCGGTATTTTTTCTTTTTGCCAATTGCCCCCCTCTTTCGAAGTTACAGCCCCCTGAAATCTGCCCCTAAGAAGTCTTTTTTTATATCTCAAAACAATGTTGTACGAGAATCGCTAAATTTGGTACACAGGTGTTTTATGACATGTGGAATCTCACAGCGTTACGCTTTTTGGCGGAAAAACCCCTTAAGACTAATTTTCGTGGCACCCTTTGGAACCAGAAAAATTTGGTCGCAAATTTTATTTTTTTTTTTAATTATTAGTTAGCTAGAAAGCCCTTGAATTTAGAAACTTTTTTGTCTCTTGATATTTGTTTCGTAAAACACAATGTTTTTGAGGAAAATGGCGAATCACGATATGCATTCGATCACATTTTGACATTTTTCTCGAAAACATTGCGTTTTACGAAAAAAGTATAAAGAAACAAAAAGTTTCTAAATTTAATGGATTTCTAGTGGACTACTAATTTTTAAGAAATTTAAATATGCAACCAAATTATTTTGGATCCAAAGACAAGGGGGTCCCACGAAAAATTGTCTTAAGGGGGTTCACCGCCAAAAAAAGTAGCACCATCAGATTGCGCATGTCATAAAACGCCTGTGTACCAAATTTAGTGATTCTCGTACAACAGGGTTCTGAGATATAAAAAATAGATTATTCTTAGGGGCGGACTTCAGGGGGCTGTGACTCCGAAAAAAGGGGCCAGTTGGCAAAAAGAAAAAATACGGGTCCTCTAAATTTGTCTTAAGAATCTGTGACCAAATTTTTTTGCATGAATTTCGGGACGCCCTGTATAATAAAGAAAATTATATTCTGGAATATTTCAAAATATAAGGCAACTACATTAAAGAGTGTTAATTATTATAATAAATGCCTCCAGTTAATTTAAGGTTTACTATATATTTTCAAACAATGAATGTATATTTCTTTAAAAAGAAAATATTTTGGCCGCTTTTTTAATAAAAGAAGTTTTGGTATTTTATCTTCTCGGCATTTGAAAGGGCCCCAAAATAAATGATGATTGTATAGATAGACGAGGGTCTGAATACCAACCGACAATATGTTGGAATTTGCAATTACCTCTTAAAGGGCATTGTACCTACACACAAGAATGAATGATTTACATGTAAAGGAACATGACGTTGAGAAAATACCGAATGAATAATTTCATACTTGAAATACTTATATCGTGTAGGTACGTACTTATAAATATTGAATTATTTTTCGAATGCATTTAATTAAATAATATCGTTTTTATTGTTATAAGAAACACGACTTAATCAATTGAATTTACATAAGCGGTAATTTGAAAGCTATTTACACAAATACGGTATTAATCCTTATCATTTTAAATATGTTAGTTGGCTTGAGGATTTCATGAAGATTATTTTTTCCCTTTACACCATGCAAATTAAATGAATACCTTAGGAATTGTGTATCTTATATATGCCTACAGAAAAGTCCGCGATGGCATATGTCTATACAGGGTCGGAAAGTTCCCATGGTTCATCGGCCGTTACGTGAGAGCGATAAAGTAAGTCATAGAAATCCGTGCGATAAAGAGAGATGGCTATAATGAAGGCGTCTAATACTCACCGCCCATTTCGCCCTTCCACAAATGGATCTTATTTGTGGAAGGGCGAAATGGGCAGTGACTATTCATATGACTATATTATTTTAAATTTAAAGGTTTTCCATTTTTAGTTTTGAGTTCGTTTGTTGTCTTTAGGTATATAGATATATCGTGAATTATTTTAAAATTAATATTAGGGTCGCATTAGATGAAAGATGATTGATTTTTTGTTTGTTACGATTTAACTCAAAAACTACTTAACCAATTTTACCGAAAGCTACATCTCCTCGGAGTAACATAGGCTATTTTATATTTGCCCGTGCGAAGCCGGGGCGGGTTGCTAGTATTAACTAAAAGCTTCAAAGTAATTAAATAAGTATTAAAAACGTCATTAATTCGACATGTTTAATATGACACATTCTTTAAACTGAGCACACAATGATATAGCTTCCTACTCCAAACTAAACCAACCAAACTTCCAATAAAATGTATCCAATATGTTGACTTGTTTAATTTTGCAGTCCACACAAATAATAATTGCTAAAATCTTAATTAAATTAAAATCTAGTTATTACAGTAAGTAAACCTAATAGTGTCATATAGTAAAAAAGAGAGATTTACTTGATGTGCTGTTATACAGGGTATTTGGAAAACAAAATTTAAGAGGGTGAAAGTAGACCCAAAAATAGTAAAAAAAGTTCCTATAAACATTGACCCTCCGGAGCACCGTTACTGAGATATGGAGTCTTATCATTTGGATATGTTTTAAAATAACTTTCTTTCTGATTAAGATAACGGAATGAAAATTGTAGGTAATAATCATACCATAAGGGTCTTTAATTACCATAAGTTTCGTCAAAATATCGGTTATAAATAAGAATAGTTTTGTAACTACTCTTAACAGAAATTTTTCGATTTTTTTTATTCCTTTGAACTATCAAGAAATATTATTTTTTTAATGAATTGGACTTTTTTTAATAAAAAATGTTCCTACTTTTTTTTCGAATTCTGCGTAGTTGTCAGAAATAATTATTTTTTAAATAATGTATGGCTCAAAACAGTAAATTTTTTTTAACATTTTCACATAGTAGGCGTCTTTCATAGTGACAGTGTCTTTGTAATGATACTAATGCTATGCATTTCATTTATAGTTTCTGTAATGGAAATAGTCTGGCCCCTCAAAGATGGTATCGGCATATTCACGGTTAGTAAAAGCGTGGTTGTAAAAAAATCGAATGAAATGCGAAAAAAATCCAATTCATTAAAAAATAATATTATTTGCTTGATAATTCAAAGGAATAAAAAAAATTCGAAAAGTTTCTGTTAAGAGTAGTTACAAAACTGTTTTTATTTATAACCGATTTTGATGAAACATGCTAGTTAAAGACCCTTATGGTATGATTATTACCTACAATTTTCATTTCGTTATCTTAATAAGAAAGAAAGTTATTTTGAAAAATATCCAAATGATAAGACCCCTTTGGAAGGCCATATCTCAGTAACGGTGCTCCGGAAGACCAATGTTTATAGGAACTTTTTTTTACTATTTTTAGCTCTATTTTCACTCCCTTAAATTTTGTACCAACTTTTCCAAACATCCTAAAAAAATAAGTACGCTTATCAGTTATTTGGTGTAGATACACCATGAACATTTTCTATTTACAAATATTATTCTAATAATTTTTATTTATTTTATGCTACCATACAACCATCTACGCTCATACCAAAAGTATGACCACTTTTTATGCTATGTATGGCACTTATTCAAAAAGATTTAGGAATAGATACGTCATGAAAAATTGAGTGAACATCGAAATGAATTTTTTTGTAAAATTATTGAAGTTGTAATATTTTCAACCCTTACATCGCTGGGCTACTGAAGTTCTAGCGTCTTTCGCGTTGTGTACTGTCTCTCTCCACATGGCCCCAGGCGATCCTGAATACTGAAATCCGATTTAACTATTAACGTTTTTCCGATACTGTTTACATTAGTTTTTCAAGTGTCAACGGCTTACGTGTCTACTCGGAGTTGATGGGTATCGTTTTAATTTATGGTGAAGCAAGACAACCTTTGTGTTAGTTCGTAGAAACTGGGTAAGACAGGCTCAAAGTTAATCTGATGCAGACAGAATTGGGAATTGGGAATTGAGTTTCACTCAATTTTTATCTTATAATGCAATAACAAGGCACGTCTTCAGATGTCGATATGTTTGTACATCGTCTGAAATTATTTATTTATATAACTATCCTAACATTGTCTCTGTTTATTTAGGTATTTTGTTATCTGCGAATAAAAAATAAAATGCCAATAAACAAATTTTTGCGTTAAAAAAGTCACAGGATATTTCTATGAAACTAGCCTAATAAAAAATCTCACATCGAAAAAACAGATAAAAACATAGCATAAACTTCTGGAAAAACTATATTTTTTCATTTTCGAAAACTAAAAAATTTTCTTGTGTTTAATTAAAATGTGACAATTTCCGTAAGTAACAAAATACCCAAACCAATATACAGGGTGTTTCTTAATAACGTGCTAATATTTAAGGAGGTTATTTTTGGGTCCATTTTAAGAAAAAAACTTCATAAGAACATATGCCCCAAAAGTCTTAACTTTTAAACTACAGAGTGCTAAAGTTTTATGAAAAAGCATTTTTTTATGATAACTTTGGTATTACTTACATTAGATATTTTTTTCAAATTTATTATTTTTGCCAGTGGCGTCTGTACAGGTTTTGTATTGAATATTTTTGAAGAAAAATATGTTACGCCACTGCTTTTTCTTAAAGTAAAAATCAATTTTGAAATCCTCATTCCTTTCTGAGCAAATATGGTGTCTTGAATTGTTTTCCTTTGGTGTACGGTTTTCGCATAAAAAAAACAAAATTCATTCATTTGCATCTTAAGAGAAAAAAAAAGATTTATGTAACTTTGAACAATAATTTATTGAAGATAATAACTTTTAAACGTTGAAATTATGAAACTACAGTAATCTACATACATTTTGGAATGGTAAAAGGAAATTACCCTGGCGTAACATATTTTTCTTCAAAAATATTCAATACAAAACCTGTACAGACGCCACTGGCAAAAATAATAAAATTGTTTGTACATCTAGATGAATAGAAGGCATGTTCCAAATTTGAAAAATATCTAGGGTAAAACAAAAGTTATTACAAAAAAATGTTTTTTCATAAAACTTTAGCACCCTGTAGTTCAAAAGTTAAGACTTTTAGGACATATGTTCATATGCAGTTTTTTTCTTAAAATGGACTCAAGAATAACCTCCTTAAATATTAGCACGTTATTAAAAAACACCCTGTATATAGAAACGTGTATTGTTTTTCAGAAGAAGCAAAATATATAAAACTATGGTGAAGCTGACTTACCTGGGTAACATTCTGTTTAATAATTGTTCAGTCTTTTTCTTCTCTATGTCTAGCTGTTCGGTTCTTTCCCTTATAAGTTCTTCAAGGTTATTCGAATATTTCTCTAGCATCTGAAACATTGTGTCGACGATGTTGACTTTTCTTCCATGATTCAGTTTTTTAAAGTGTTCGTGGACAGTGTTGAAGTCCGGCCTCATTTCGGGCTGCTCAGCCCAGCATTGACGCATGATATTTATCGCCTCCGGGGGTGCAGCGCCTTTGCTCACAGACGGCCTTATTAAAGGTGGCGGTCGTTTCACCTTTTCTATTATTTCTGAAACAAATTGTTACGTCAGGTTGTTTACTTGTTGGACACGAATGGGTTAATGTATAAATGGCAAGGCATAATAAAGATTATAGGCTGGAAATTCTCACAAATGTTCTTTTCAATGTAAAGCGTGTAGAATTTATAAAATGCAGAACAGTATTATTGCATGATATTATATCTGCCAAGAGTACCTAGTGTTCAGGAGTTAAGACCAGTAAAGTACCGGTCTGATTCTTTGTTCACCACATGTGAATGCGGAAAGGATTGTTAAGAAAAAGATCACATATTTCAAGAAGGAAAGAACATGGAAATCGAACAACGGCCAAATAATACGAATACTGAAGAACAAGTAACGGAGTGAGAGGAGAATGCGTGACACACCACTACGCAGACCTGAAGGCATACACAACGGCACCGGCGATACCTCAGACCAAACGTGAGACCACGCCCACCATATTACTACGCAGCAGTGTCAAATACATGCCCTAGGCCACATCCTCTACCCCACTCAACAGGAACATCAGGGCGGGTCTAAAGTATCTCACCTGTCTGATATACACGGTGCGTGAACTTCATTGCGTCAAAGTTTTAAATCTGTGATTTGAGTATGAGACTTGAATCCGCCAATATAGAATTTTAACTAGATGATTTTTAGGTTTTATGGGTGGTTTTCTGGTGTTTACACGAAGCTGAAGGGCTGCAAGAGTTGACTGAACATAGATATATTGGGTACCCGTGTTATCAGTCAGAAATTGGAAATTTGGAATTATAAAACTTCACTTACATTGGTTGTCTACATTTTTCTTTGAAATTTTACAAAGAGAAAAGAAAGCCACTTAGAAAGCTTAAAGAGAAACTTGAATGCAATATTCATAATATTTGGGGGTTGTAAATATCAAATTTTGAACATATCAACAAAATCTATTATGATTTGCTTAAGAATCACTGAAATGTGAATTAGAATCAAATGTCACGGTTTTGCATATTTTAGGCACTGATGTAGATTTTGCTGCAGCAAGATATTGTTAGATATATGAACTTTGTAAGTGTCTACAATTTATGTATTCTGTTCTGTTGATATTGGTAGTGATTTCTTCATTTATGTAGATGGCTTTGTTACCTTTAGATATAAGTAAACAATCTCGTGTATGTCCATATTTTCATATTAAACTACGATAATATTTGTTAAAAAAGAAGAACTTAGAGCAAAATTATAATTAAGAATTCTAAAAATACTTTCTGACCAATAAAATCAGTTCATATATATTTTTTAATATAAAATCAAATAATAAATCTTTGAAACGAATTAAATTACAAATATATTTTCATTTTTATTTTTCCGCTAGAAATATTAGTCAAACTATTCATTTGCCATTTTAACAATTAATGAAACAATCAAATAAAGTAAATAATGGTTGTAAATTGTTCTTTGAATTGACGTAAAATATATTTACAAAATAAAACCTATTTCAAGGATTTGCGTCAAAGCACATTTATTTAATTTATAACGAATTTGCCCGGTAGCTGCAAGCCTGAAACATTTATACAAATAAAACACTTAATCCCAAAAGCTAATTCTATTGTCATTAGCAATTTCGTGTAGTTATTCCATAAAAAAAAGTAAAACGTAAAAGAGATATAAATTTATGTATAGGTTTACTAGATAGCATTCAGTCGTTCAGTAGTTTCTTTTGTATTTCACTGAAACTGAATTGTTTTATTGTAAGTTCCTCATAATCCCATCCCATAATAGCTCATATATATCAGAAAAAGTTATGTTGAGTGTATATTAACAAAAAAATATAATTAGATATGGTAGGTATGGTGAGTTTAGGTTAGACTAAAAAATAATAACTCGAAACTCATATGTTTTTAGAATCGTTAGTGATTAAAATATTAAAAGTCTCTATGCAATTTTAAAGGTTAATTTTACCAATCCATTTAATATCAACGACTTCTACAGACTAGTTTTATATATTTGATTAAATTTGTAGAATGAATTTAAAGTACAAGGTATACAGGGCTGGAAAATCCACATGGTCTATCTGCCTTTACATGGCAGCGACAAAGTAAAGTAAAGAAATCCGTGCGATAGACAAGGATAGCTATAGTGAAGACGTTTCATAATCTGAATAGTAACCGTCCGTTTCGGGTTAGAAATGGGATTCAAAATTGTAATCGCCTGTCATAATCGTCTTCCAAAAGCTCTTGGACAAGACATACCTTATAGGGGTGGTATTTCTCTTGTTTCAGAAACATTCGAATTGCAGTTCGAGAAGCATCGTGATTGCGGGCCAGTGAAACAGTTGAAGTATGATGATTTTCAACAAGTTCTAATGCAATGTCTAATTTCTTTTCTTCATTCAAAGCACGCGCCCGTCCAGTTTTGGGCAAAGTCTGTACTGTACCGTGTTCCTCAAATTTGTGAAATATTTTACTAACTGTCCCTTGCGAGATTTGGTTTTCGGGATATTTCGCATTAAATAAATCGCGCACTTCAGCCTGACTTCTTATTTTGTCTCCACATCCAAGCAATATCAAGATTTCGATGCGTTGCCTTTCCGACAATACCATTGCAATTCAGTAAATAAATTGATTTTAACACTATAGTAACGTTTCGAACTCCAATTTACAACTAAAGCGAAAAATTAACCAGAAAGCCTGGCAAGTAAGAGGTGCCAAGATACGAAACATAAAAAATATATCTTTTTTGCGTTAGCAGCGATAAGTACAGTTTCAAATTCTTTATTTTATTCTGTGTAAATTCATGGAGGATAACACAAGATAATTAAATTTTATTTACAACCCTAAAAACCTTGCTAAAAACATAATAAAAATATGTAACCTACTTCAAAACTACAAGCAGTTCGTTTTCTCGTATTATTCCCTGCCTGCTCCATTTGTCAGATACGTCACATTCGCTAAGTTCTTTATGCAATTACAGAAGTTTTCTCTGTTCCTTGTAGCATCTTGATAAAATTTGTTATTTAAGCCCCTGCAGAACAAGTAAGTATCTATCAAGGAATATATTAAAATTGTTTTTCAATGTATTTGCTAAACTGCAAATAGCAAACTATATGCAGTCGAAGTTTGAGAATATCAATACAATCTCATCACCTTACCTTAATTTATGCGACGATTTGCAAGAATTTGTTTACAGCTGGAAGTTCTTTGTTGCTTTCTGTTCCACTTTTCTTACTTGCTGCCATTTCGAACTTATCTATAGTTTATAATACAGGGAAGGAAACGTAACGAACAAACACGTCCACTTAGTGTATACATGGAGCGTAAAGAACAAAGAATTCTTCGTTTTATTTGGACATTGATAAAGAACGTGTACCTTGCACACAAAGTACGAAGGCAAATCGAAGTTTAATTTTGCGTACGTAGTGATAAAAAAACGCTATAGGATTATATTACCTTACTTAGCGGTACCTCAACAGTCTGCAGGGGTGTATAAAGTTTTTTTTAATCCTGGAAACGCTAATGATAGTATCATAACATGGTTCGTTAAAATGCGGACGATAAAGAAATTTACTTCATCATCATTCTGCAGCTTTTGTTTTACTCTTCGTTTCTATGGATCCTGAAACAATCGTGCTTTACCTTTCGTTAGCTAAATCGTTACATACAATGTGGCCCATCGAAAACATATCATATGGCATAACTGCCAGGAAAAGGTCTTGTCGAAAAAATACTAAAACACATCGATTTTGTTTGTGATGAGGACAAATTTTGACGTGAAACTCATGGCCCAAATTTCACCCTCCTAGGCGGGGGTGTCATCCTCCAAAATTTTTCAATTGGGAATGGGGGTCAAGTGATGCGTCATTGAAAATAGTTTTTGATTCTGTATATACTGGGGCTCCGTTTTTGAAATTCGGTCAGTTCGTTTAGAAGTTACGAAGTCTTGAAGTTTCATTAATACATTTCACGAAAAATGCAAAAATTAAATCAATTTCATTAAAAAAAATTACCGCATCACGAAGTACAAGTAAAATTGTGATATTCCCGTTTCCCCAGAAGTTGCGGATTTTCTTAAAAAAGTATCTTGCCCACCCAGTATAATTTAAAATCACTTTTAATGCCCTGTTAAATTTCAGAATTTTTATGCCCATATCCAATTGTTTTATTGTTAGATACATTTTTACAATTTACACACTATTATTTGATATCTTGAGGAATCGTTTTTCCTTAACATTATTTATTCATTTGTTATTGATTGATAAGTTCTTATATCCAAAGAAACTACTTCGATAACAATTTTATAAAAAAAATATATGAAGACTTTGTGAAATATTCAATTCTTGATATACACGCCTCTTATTCTTTTAATTGTACATATGGCATTTAAGAGGAAATTGCTTTCTCATATTTGTAAATACAGTATTCCCAAACTCATGATTTATGTCACTAACGTAGCGAAAACAGAACTTCCTTGACCCATTTCAAACACTCGTTTCCTAGTCTACGCTGGGTAATCCCTGGAACATTACATGGCCGTGTTAGCAAGTTTGCAAAATCCTCATGAGGCAATCATTTCAAACTCCAGAATCACTGGCAGTTACTTTGCATTCACCCAGCCACAGAAATAATAACGGACAATTTCTATTACAATTTAGTATTACTCAGTTGAAATTGAATTCAACATAGCGCTATTAAATTTGTAATATACCTACATATATGTATTTGCTTAAATTTTCATTGGATATAGGATAATCCTTACTTATATTTTATTACCTAATAATATTTTTTTTACTGCGAGCGTAAAATACTAGCTACATACAGTTTTTGGAAATAGCAAAAATGTAAAATATGAAAATTATACTGTAAAAATAAAACGTTGATGGTTGTTTATCGGTTATTGCCTTTTTATGCCTTGCGGGTATACAAATACAGGGTGATTCACAACTTATCCAAAAAAAATTTGGGAATAGATGCAGCATGAAAAATGGAGTCAATATCGGAAAAAAATTTTTTGTAAACTCCATATAGTTTCCGAGAAA